CCTGCTGCAGCACTGCCAGCTCAGAGTCCAGGAACAGAGCAGGTAAAGAGGCTCAGAGACAAACAGGAGCTGCCTCCTTCCTCTGAATTCACCAGAGGACCCTTGTGCCATGGCTTGGCCTTACCCAGGAGTTATTTAAAGGAAGCTGGGAGCTGTGGGAAAACAGCAGCTTTGGGGCTGTGCTGTTGGAGCACTCTGAGGGTGCCTGGTGAGGCAAACAAAAACCTGCCAAGCTTGGTATTATTTCAAGCTGGTGATGAAGCTTTAATCTTGGTGTACAGCCTGAAAAGGAGCTGCTCCTGGGGGCTTTTCCCTGCAGCTTTGTGTAAGCAGATTGCAGCAATCCCAGGCTCCTGACACACACCTTCCAGGGAGGCAGGGCACATGAAGGCATTAACAGGGCTGCTGGAGTATCCCAGTGGCTCCGATGGTGGGGTTTTCCCTGCTCTGGAATGCCTGTGTGCACTGGGGAAGGAGGATGGGATGGGATGGGATGGGATGCTGGAGACTTGCGTTCCTGAGGAGGTCAAATGCTCTGAGCACCAGGTGGGACTGAGCCCAGGGAGGTTAGAAAATCCCATTAATCCAGGCTAGTCAGTGAGATCCAGTTACAGTGTGGCTTTGTTCAGCTTTATTTACCTAACACCTGAGTGTAATTAATTTTTTTTTTCCCTCAAGGACAGTAACAGAGGTGTTACAGCAACCCCAGCTCCTTTTTTAAATACTGAAGTGCAATTCATTGACACTTCCTCTTATAAATTGTACATTTAATTGCTACTGGTTTTGCCAGGCTGGTGCTGACTTCAGGCTGAGCATTATTATTTTGATTTAACATTTCAGCAAAACCAGTTCAGCTAACCCTGAGCTGGAAGAACTTGGCTTGCTCTGGCCATGTTTGACAAAACCATCCTGTAACCATTTCCCTGGGGAGATCCAATGTCCTTTGGGGCAGGGATCTATCTGACCTACACCTCCTTTAGGGGCTGTACCATTTGCTGCTATCCATACCCACATCATTACCTGTGTAAAATCTCCATTCTTTGCTGTTTTGGTGAAAAATGATAATCTGAATTCCCTGAAGGTGCTGGATCTGGGCTGAGCAGGTGCCCCAGCACATTCCTATGTGGACACCCCTCTGACCTGCAGGAAGGGTCCAGCCTTGCCTTAAAGCTTTGGGTGGTGGGATATCCACAAAAACACATTTTCAGCCTGGGGAAGCACAGGGGGATGAGGGGCTCTGCTGAACACAGACTCTGGTTCCTGTGGGTGTGCTCAGGTGTGCTGAGTGACAAGCTGTGCCCTCTGCAGAGCTGCCTGTACTGGCTGAGCCTTCAGATGATTCCAGCATTTGGAACTGGGAGCTGACAGCCTCTCCCTGAAGTCTCCATTGCTGAGTTGTAAACACACATTGTAGGAGCTTGGTTGGGGTTTTTTTTCCCCCCTTCTGCAGTTTGTAGAAAAGTCTGTGTTTCACCTTTAGTAACGAAGAAAATGTTTTCACTTCCAGTGTCTGGAAGGATGTTAGAAAACATGAGCAGAGGATGAGATGCCACCTGCCTCTCTACAGGTTGTGATGAATTAATGCAATCAAGAACAGCACAGTCAAACAGTTTTGAGCACCAGAAATATTTCATAGACTTATAGAATATTTTGGGTTGGAAGGGACCCTAAAGCTCACCCAGTTCCACCACTTGACATGAGCAGGGACACCTTCCACTATCCCAGGCTGCTCCAAGCCCCATCCAAGCTGGCCTTGGATGCTTCCAGGGATCCAGGGGCAGCCACAGCTTCTCTGGGCACCCTGTGCCAGGGCCTGCCCACCCTCAGAGTCAGGAATTCTTCGCTAATCCCATCTCCCCCACCCTCTGCCAGTAGGAAGCCATTCTCCCTGCGATGGGAGCAGCTTTGCTGATTTTATCCCTTCTGTAAGAGCAGGTTTTGCACGCTGCAGATTGATAAATTAATGCTCAGAGAGTCTCTCTGCACAGGCTCTGATGTGGATGGAGTGGTCCACAGACACTTCTCCGTGGGCAGCACTCTTCCCCAAGGCTGGCAGCACCATTATTGGAAAACTAATCAGCTCTATCTGAGATAAATTGCATTTCCACCAATTATAGCTTAATTGTTGACAGATGGGAACACAGAAGGACGATGTGTCACATCATTAAGAGAACAGGTGTATAGACAAGTGCCAGATTAATTGTTCCAGCCCATTAAATCATTGACCTTTTCAGCACACCCTCAACACTGAGTTCGAAGCTCTCACGGTATTTCCAGCTCACACAGACTGCCTGTGTTTGTCAGCAAAGTTCTCAGGGCATTTTTAAAGCACACAGACTCCAGACATGGACTCATTAGCCATGAGCAGCTCTCCTTCTCATTAAAATGATTCCTCTTCTTCTTCCTTCCCTGTGCTGGGGTTTTTGTGTTTTTCTGGTGAAATCCCACATGGTGTGTGGGCTTTCTCCAAAGTGCAGTTTTCCCCACGGAGCAGGCAGACATTCTGTAATGGGCCATACATTTAGGGATGTCAAAAGGAGGTGAAGTCAGGACACAGCAGCTCAGTCCTGGGCAGCTTGGCTGGAGACTCCAGCTTGATTTAGGGCTTTGTGATTTCCAGCTCCTGCTCTGCCTGGGATTTTCAATAAAGATAAATACTGGTGAAAGTGAGTCAGCCATGGGTGTCTCATTCCCTTAAATAAGTGTAAAAATGCTCTTTTCCTGGCTGTGGAAATCAGGAATCTGAGGGTGCAGTGCAGACACAACACAGCAGCTTTGTGGGAGGCAGCACAGGTTTGGGACAGGGATGCAGGACAAGTTTCATCTGTCCTGAGCTACCCGAGCCCTGCTCGTGCTGGGTAACCCAGAACTGACTCCAGATCTCGTTCTTCTGCCTTGAAAAATGAAAGGATCAGCGTTCCAGCTGAAAGTGCTGTGATGACAGTGATGTTTGTTACACCTGGAGCCCCTGCCCTACAGCCAGGAGCTGATCTGAAGGTGCTTTGCCCCCCTGGTAGTTCTGGAAAAGCAGGTGGGAAGGGAGGGGACAAGCAGGAGGCACAAGGAAGAGTTGGTGCCCTCTGTCAGCTCTGCAGCTGCACACAGAGGCAAAACTGGGGCTGGCAATCAGAGCTCTGCTCCCCAGGGCCAGGGCTGGTGGTGAAATCTCTCCCTGCCTGGTGTTTCACCAATCCTCTGCTTACCCAGTTTGCCACGTTAAATGTAACTGTGATATTTAACTGAAATCTCCTTTTAGATAAATGCTGTGAATCCACAAACTTGGTGGCCTTTACGGACCTCTGGGGACAATCAGAGAGGATACAGGAGAATTGGGTGAAGTTCCCTCTCAGGTAACAAATTATTTTGTAAGGAAAATGAGATCATTTAATAAAAAAAATTCAGTTTATGTGAGATGGAAACTGCAAGAGAGTTTTTGATAGATCAGACACCTTCATATAATCATATTTTTCAATATGGTTGGAAATGTCAGATTGCAACAGGGCAGCTTGTTAAAATCCCTGGGAGGTGCTGCAGCCTTGATCAGCATCCCTGGGAGAGTGTCTGCAGGAAAAGATGGAGATTTCTCCATTTCCATCACTCACTCCCCAGCACTGAACCCTGGACAGGGAAAAAAAGTGAACCAAAGCCAGATTTTTTAGATTATATATAAATCTGGAGGTTAGTTCTGAAGGAAGTACATGTATTTCTGTGTGCAGGACAAGGGAGGAGAGGAAATTGTTTAAAAAACCCCCAAAATAGGAAAAAAACCCAACCACAAACAAAACAAACAAACAAACAAAAAAAACCAAACAACAAAAAATGCAATCAAGAACAGCACAGTCAAACAGTTTTGAGCACCAGAAATATTTCATAGACTTATAGAATATTTTGGGTTGGAAGGGACCCTAAAGCTCACCCAGTTCCACCACTTGACATGAGCAGGGACACCTTCCACTATCCCAGGCTGCTCCAAGCCCCATCCAAGCTGGCCTTGGATGCTTCCAGGGATCCAGGGGCAGCCACAGCTTCTCTGGGCACCCTGTGCCACCAACCACAAACAAAACAAACAAACAAACAAAAAAAACCAAACAACAAAAAACCCCCCAAAACCCCAAGCAAACAAAAAAAAAAGACAAAAAAAAGCAAAAAAAAACCACCAAACAAAAAAACCCCCACAAAACCAGCAACCAAAACTCCAACCCCACCCCGCCCCCACCAAAAAAAAACCCAAAAAAAACCCCCAAAAAAACAAAACCAAAAGTCAAAGAGGAATTTTAGAAATGTGAAAAAATGTAATTTAAAGACTTTCTAAATGAATCATTTTACCTTGCATTTTGAACTGTGGTTTGTGATTTAGAAAAGGTTAACCTCAATTTAAACAGGAAGATTGAGTAACTCAAAGGCAAGAGAAACATTTCATTTCAGTTGAAATTTAATATCTGGGGTTAACCCAGAACTTTCCCCCGCTTCTGCTCAGTTTTGTTTCTTTTTTTTTGCCAGCCCCTTCCTCCTCTCTCTACCCCCCTTTCACTGTTGCTCCATCCAAGGCTTTCTTCCCCAGATATTTTGATTTAACCACACAACCCAGAGGGTTTTTGTTCACCCCACATCAGTGAGCTTCTCATTTCCAGATGTCCTTTCCACTGGCCCACACTCACAAAAATTCTACTCCCAACACTTACAGAGTTGGAATTAGATGATATTCAAGGTCCCTTCCAATGCAAACCATTCTATGATTCTATAATAAAATAGAAGCCACAATTACATCCCTGGTTTAGAAGTCAGGGCACTGTGGTCTAGACCAAGGATGGCATCTGGGACAGGTACAGAACTTAATTGCAATGTCCCCTTTAGCTCAAAATTGTATTTTTTAACTAGAAATATCTGCCTTTTCCTATTTTCCCCTCACTCCTCCACACTCACTGTCTCCACCCCCAGCCCATCCATCTGGGGGATTCCAGCCCCTCCAGAGCTGGGGCTTGTTTCTTTGGCACATGCCACTAGAAATCCCTGTCAAAGAAGTCATCAAAGAGGGAAAATCTCTCTGTCTTGGTCCTCACAAGCCTGGGTTTGTGGTGCATCCTCTCTTCCCTCTCCCACTCCTCTGAGCTGGTGCTGGAGGAGTCCCAGAACGGATCCCTGGTCCGTGGCTCCCTGCAGAACCACAGGTCAGCCTTCCCCCTCCTGTCTGGAGAGGGTTCCACCCTGCAGAGTCCTCCACCCCACGTGTTTCCTGGGGGAGAGAAAATAAATAAAATATCATGGCTTTGCAGAGCTGCTCAGTCACCTGGAGCTGAGCTGGGAATGGCTGTGGACAGCTAGAGGCACGTAAGGAAAATCCTGAGAGCTCCCTGTAGGACCAGACCCCATGTCTGGGGCAGGAGTTACACACTCAGGATCATGTTTGGAAATTATAGAGTCTGGCAATATGGCTTTATCCCCAAGGGGAAGAGAGATGAGGTGGAGAACCACAAGGGAATAGGAAGCCAGGTTTGTTCCCCTTCCTCCTGGTGAAAGTTCACCTTCAGGAGAGTTTTTCACTGATTTAAGCACTTTCAGCCTCGGTGGAACATTCCCAGCCTGTGCCAAAGGTTGTCATGTGCAGGCAAAGCAGGACAGGGCTCATGCCTTGGACAGGTCAGGATGAAGAGGTGGCTGAGATTTCTGTCGGGACAGTGGGAAAAAAACCCTAAACCTGAAAAGTGATCAGCCTCAGTGAGCATCACATTTACCCCAGAGAGCTCTCTGAGGCATTCCAATGCTTTGTCCTACAAACACAGCCTTTCCCACCCTGAACCTGCTTCTCATCACTGCAGGAGGTGGAGCAGTGGAAGAACCTTCCACAGGGAAACTTCTCTGGTGACATTTAGGAGGGCTGAGTGAGTTTTACAGCCTTGGAAAATCATTCCACTTACCAGGGTCGTCTTCAGGAAAACGCTGATTGTGCTCAGCAGGGATGGGGTCTGGGCTCCTGGTGCTGTCACCTCTCTGGGGAGTGTCAAGGACATCCTTGGGGCTGAATTTCTTGAAGTTTTGCTCATTGATTTTCGCCTCCCTGTGGAGATTCCTCTTCAGCTCCGCCTGGGTTTGCAAATGAGTTGTCAACACAAGCAGCAGAGGCTCGAATGTGTTTTAACAGCACAGCGTTAGGGGGTTGGCCCTGGAAATAATTGCACAGTCGAGTAGTTTAACCCAGGCAAATGGAATCTGCCAGAGTGGGTGTGTGACAGAACACGACTGGGACAGGGATTTTTGGTTTCTCCGTGAGTCATGGCCAAATGAGGGCAAAGGGAAAATCACAGGTAATTGCTGATCACAGGGGCCTTGGGGATGCTCCCCACCAGCCCTCTGCCTAAGACTCAGGAAAAGCGTCCTTTCACCTTCCCAGCACCAGGTCTGAAGCCTCGTGGTCTGGGGAGAGCCACCCCCATGCCCTCCCCAAACCCACCTTGGCATTACCTCTCGTCGCTTGCGGGTCAAGTCCAGCATCTGAAGCTTGTGCAAGTGCTGCCTCCTGCCAGGGAGGGGATTCAGGCTTTGCCCCCTCTTCTCCAGCACCTACGAGGTATTTAAAGATGCAAATAAATACACCTGCACTTTCTGAAAGAGAAAGGAAGAGCCACCAGCTCACAAACCCCTCAGGCATTCCCAGATAAAGGCAGGGAGCATCTCTGGGTGTAGCCAGCTTGCAGGAATTCAGCACAGATTTCCACTGTGCTTGCAGTTTATCCCACAGCTCAGGGGCAGGAAGGGAAAAAACTTCATTAAAACAATGTATTTATGCTTCTGCCCCCCGAGGTGTTACTGCCTTGAGTCGGTTCTCCAAGATAATCTCGTTATCCAAAGGGAAGAACAGCTTTTGCATGTCTGGGGCTGCAGGGGCTGTTTGTGGCACACAGTGTTTGCAGCCTTTACATCAGACTTATGGAATTGTTGAGGTTGGAAAAGGTATCTAAGATCATGGAGTTCAGCTGTCCCCTCAGCACTGCCAAGGCCACCACTGCCCCATGTCCCCAAGTGCCACATCCACATGGCTTTGAAATCCCTCCAGGGATGGAGGCTCCATCACTGCCCTGGGCAGCCTGTTCTAATGTTTGACAATGCTTCCAGTGAAGGAATTTTCCCTGAAATCCAGTCTAAACCTCCCCTGGCACAAGCTGAGGCCACTCCCTCTCATCCTGTCCCTTGTTCCCTGGGAGCAGAGCCTGAGCCCCACCTGGCTCCAAATTCCTGTCAGGGAGAGCGAGGAGGTCTCTCCCTTCTCCCCACCAGCTGCAAGTGTTGGGTGCTCAAATAAGTGATTTAAAAACGTGCCTCTCACACTTTCAGCCTCTAAAGTATTAAATATCCTGGCTCAGCAGGTCCATCTCATCCAGGGAACTGTCAGCCTGGAAATTAGGAAGCTTTCTCCTTTTTTTGGATCCTCTCACCCACATGCCAGCATTTCAGCTCAGAGTCCTGGGCTCAGCCAGGGACAGGAGCTCAGCCCATGGTTAAACACCAACTTCTGCCCTTCAGGGTGCCCAGAGGGTGAGGGAAAGGAGCCTGCAGCCAGGAATGGCTTGGGGAAGGGCACAAACTCACGCACTTACCTTTGGTTTTGGGCTTGCAGCCGCTTCTGGCTGACTCCAGGGCTTCGCAGGCATGATTGCTTGTGGAGGGATGGCAGGTTCAAGCCTCTGCAAGTCCAGCATTTATAACATTTAGCATTGCTCATTCCACAGGATCATAGAACAGGATATGAAACCACCTTGACTTTTTTCCAGCTCCAATTCAGGCCCAGCTGCTTGGGATACAGGAAGGAGTTTGGCATCTCAGGGAGATGAGCATCATTTGGTCCTTCAGGAGTGGTAAAAGTGGGGAAATCTTTTGCCTTACAGCACAGGCAGCAAAGCCCTGGTTTGGCAGTAATTCCATCCCTGCAGGCATTTCTCTTTGAGCCCCAACAGTGCCCAAAGCTCCACCCAAGACCAGAGTGAAGCCAAACCACAGCTCAGATTGTTTCACGGCAAAGCTGAGTGTGTATAATTTAATCTCAAGAATCCTGTCAGGTCATCAAAGGGCAGATCCCAATTAGAGGAGACCTGGAGCACCATTCCCTCTGTCCAGACAGTCTTTACATTGGCCTAAATAAGACCTCTCTGCAAAACTGTGCATGGTACAAAGGTCCTTTTCTGGTGGCTGGTGAAAACAGGCAGAGAGTTGCTCTACAGGCTGCACTGAGCATGGATTTTCATCTCAAGGAGCCTCCTTAAATCATGCCAGGCTCTGAGGTGTTGCTGGGTCATTCCATGGCTTGGTATCCATGGAATCACAGGTTGGAAAAGACCCCTCAGACAATCAAGCCCAACCATTATCCCAGCACTAAACTGTGTCCCCAGGCGCCACATCTACACAATTTTGGAACACTTCCAGGGATGGTGATTCCACCTGGATAATCTCGTTATCCAAAGGGAAGAACAGCTTTTGCATGTCTGGGGCTGCAGGGGCTGTTTGTGGCACACAGTGTTTGCAGCCTTTACATCAGACTTATGGAATTGTTGAGGTTGGAAAAGGTATCTAAGATCATGGAGTCCAGCTGTCCCCTCAGCACTGCCAAGGCCACCACTGCCCCATGTCCCCAAGTGCCACATCCACATGGCTTTGAAATCCCTCCAGGGATGGAGGCTCCATCACTGCCCTGGGCAGCCTGTTCTAATGTTTGACAATGCTTCCAGTGAAGGAATTTTCCCTGAAATCCAGTCTAAACCTCCCCTGGCACAAACTGAGGCCACTCCCTCTCCTGTCCCTTGTTCCCTGGGAGCAGAGCCTGAGCCCCACCTGGCTCCAAATTCCTGTCAGGGAGAGCGAGAAGGTCTCTCCCTTCTCCCCACCAGCTGCAAGTGTTGGGTGCTCAAATAAGTCATTTAAAAACGTGCCTCTCACACTTTCAGCCTCTAAAGTATTAAATATCCTGGCTCAGCAGGTCCATCTCATCCAGGGAACTGTCAGACTGGAAATTAGGAAGTTTTCTCCTTTTTTCGGATCCTCTCACCCACATGCCAGCATTTCAGCTCAGAGTCCTGGGCTCAGCCAGGGACAGGAGCTCAGCCCGTGGTTAAACACCAACTTCTGCCCTTCAGGGTGCCCAGAGGGTGAGGGAAAGGAGCCTGCAGCCAGGAATGGCTTGGGGAAGGGCACAAACTCACGCACTTACCTTTGGTTTTGGGCTTGCAGCCGCTTCTGGCTGACTCCAGGGCTTCGCAGGCATGATTGCTTGTGGAGGGATGGCAGGTTCAAGCCTCTGCAAGTCCAGCATTTATAACATTTAGCATTGCTCATTCCACAGGATCATAGAACAGGATATGAAACCACCTTGACTTTTTTCCAGCTCCAATTCAGGCCCAGCTGCTTGGGATACAGGAAGGAGTTTGGCATCTCAGGGAGATGAGCATCATTTGGTCCTTCAGGAGTGGTAAAAGTGGGGAAATCTTTTGCCTTACAGCACAGGCAGCAAAGCCCTGGTTTGGCAGTAATTCCATCCCTGCAGGCATTTCTCTTTGAGCCCCAACAGTGCCCAAAGCTCCACCCAAGACCAGAGTGAAGCCAAACCACAGCTCAGATTGTTTCACGGCAAAGCTGAGTGTGTATAATTTAATCTCAAGAATCCTGTCAGGTCATCAAAGGGCAGATCCCAATTAGAGGAGACCTGGAGCACCATTCCCTCTGTCCAGACAGTCTTTACATTGGCCTAAATAAGACCTCTCTGCAAAACTGTGCATGGTACAAAGGTCCTTTTCTGGTGGCTGGTGAAAACAGGCAGAGAGTTGCTCTACAGGCTGCACTGAGCATGGATTTTCATCTCAAGGAGCCTCCTTAAATCATGCCAGGCTCTGAGGTGTTGCTGGGTCATTCCATGGCTTGGTATCCATGGAATCACAGGTTGGAAAAGACCCCTCAGACAATCAAGCCCAACCATTATCCCAGCACTAAACTGTGTCCCCAGGCGCCACATCTACACAATTTTGGAACACTTCCAGGGATGGTGATTCCACCTGGACTTCCCTTCTAGGAGGGGAGCTCAGTCCAGCTTAATAAAAATTAAAGGGGACAACATGAAGGACTTTGTAACACCTGACTTATATTTTATTTGGGACACCATTAACTCCTTGATTATGAGCAAGTGCCCAATAAATGGGGACATGTTTGAACCGTGGTCACTGAGAATTTTGGACTTTCTGTGCTGACAGGCACTGACCCCAAAAGAACAGTGCATTTGACCTGAGGCCGTAGAGATTTCCAAAATTAAATAATAGAACTAAGATTATGAGTATATAGTTTAAATAAAAGTGTATAATATCGCACAGTAGAAAACTTAGAGTTTAAAGTTTTAATGTATATATTTAAATATTTATTTAAACATTATTTATATATTATTTCATATTCTTATATTAAATTTATTATTTATTTATTATTGATATTTACTATTTAATATTTCTACATAAAATATATTATTTAATATATATATAAAACAAGATAAAAGTTTTATAACAAAAACGAGTCCTTCTTCACCTTCTTCTCCATAAGTTTAAGTAATATTATATAATTAAATAAAAAGTCCATATTTCAAATCACAAATAATTAGTTGTTAAGTTAAAAATAAAAATAACTTGTGTCATTTCTTAATTAAACAATTTATCCTTAAAAAACCTTATAAAAAGAGATACAACTCCATTTTTAAAATTTATTAAAATAAAATACTATAAAACTCAAAATTTATAAAACTATAATATAAATAAAAATTAATAAACATCTAAATCCAAACAAAAAAAATACCATCTCACACATTTAATCCAAACCTAACCAAAAAATAGTTAAGACTCAACAGGGACATGTCTGCACTGAACTGCTGCTGAATCCTGAGCTGTCATTTTGGATCTGTGTAAAAATGCAGGGGGAAAAATCAGTGTCGTGTAAAGGGAGAATTCTCCACTAGTCCCCAGCGCCAAGTGCATGTCTCTTAGCATCAAAATAACCCCACAAAGCCAAATATGAAACTGGAAAATGGCACTAGATGGCAGCATGTGCCACCACAAGCTGTGGTCCAGGCTGGCATCGCCCCAGGAAGGCACCGAGGCCACCAGCACGGGGTGGGTGAAGGCAGAAATCCCCCATAGCCCTCAGCCCATCACCCTGCCCTGCTGAGGATGAAGGCAGAAATCCCCCCACAGCCCCCAGCTCATCACCCTGCCCTGCTGAGGATGGAGGCAGAAATCCCCCCACAGCCCCCAGCCCATCACCCTGCCCTGCTGAGGATGAAGGCAGAAATCCCCCCAGAGCCCCCAGCCCATCACCCTGCCCTGCTGGGCAAGCCAAGCTCCAGGCTTTTGGGTACAGCCCTTTCCCGGGCTGGAAAATTGACTTTTCCCTCCAGTGTTTGTGAACTTTGCAGGTTTTTGTCTGGAAATATTCTCTGACCAAGATCCTCAAAGTCCTTGAGAAGGCCACGTCATCCTGCTCCTCTGCCTTTGAGAGTATTCCCACAGGGAAAAGGCTTTTGCTGGAGCTGTGAACACACCCCAAGAGCAGCAGCAGCAGAACAGGGTAGGATTGACAGAGTCTGTGTCCTGAGGTGAGTGTTAACAATGAGTGTCTCAATAACACACGATGGACGGAAATAAAATAATTAATTAAGAATTCCGTTCTGGGCAGAGGTTTCTAAAGGAAACTGTGATTCCATGTGACACTTTGCAGGGTGTAGGTGGGCTCAGTTCAGATGCCACTGTTGCAGCATCCCACCAAACCCAGGGACACGTTATTCCACAGCTGGTGGCCACCTCTGAGCTCTGAAGCCACCAGTGTCACCCAGAGCCACAGCCCTGAGGGGAGGGGTTTAAGTAACCCCATTTGGTGGCTCTTCTGTTCTTTATTATATTTAAAATATCATAATCACAGCAAGAAGGTCTCAAGCGGAGAATCCTTGCTCCAGTGGATTTACTGTTCACAGAATCATGGAAACCTGACATTTTTTGGGTTGGGAGGGACTTTAAGGACCAACCCCCTGTCATGAGCAGGGACACCTTTCACTAGACCAGGCTGCTCCAAGCAGATTCAGGTTGGGTATTAGGAACAAATGCCCATGAATGAACACTGGATTCGAGCTGTGGCCTCACAAGTGAGTACACAGGGGAGAAATAAAGATTTGAGGAAATTTCTGAGCTTTAGCTATGTCAGGGTAGCCCTTGTGTGGAGGCAAATCTTGGCTGCTAGGTCAGGTAGAGCCATGGGGTTCAGGATTTGGGGAGGAATGGATCTGGGAAGTGCAGGATGGGGAAACTGAGAGAAGTTTGGGCAGGTACAGAGCACGCACAGCAATTCCTGAAACCCGGAATAATTGCCGTGTCTTTCACCATGCCCTGGTGCACAGTGTCTGTCTGCCTCACCACCTCTGCTCTGAAGCCCCCATGGTGCTGTGACATGTGGCCCTGTCCCCAAAAAGCCCACGGGGAGGGGTCCCTCAGAGCAGCTCCCAGGGAGCTTCCACGCTCCATGTAGGGATGTGCTCCCTGTTGACGGAGTGACAAAACTATCCTTTGTCTCCTTAAAAAAGAAAAAAGCCCAAAGGTTTCTCTCCTCAGTTAGCAAAAAAGACACCTCATGGGACCTGGGGGACTTCACCTCAAAATTAAGGATAGCCAATTAGACATGAGCCAAAAAGTCCTGCCTGTGAAGGCAGAAACCCCCCACAGCCCCCAGCCCATCACCCTGCCCTGCTGAGGATGAAGGCAGAAATCCCCCCACAGCCCCCAGCCCATCACCCTGCCCTGCTGGGCAAGCCAAGCTCCAGGCTTTTGGGTACAGCCCTTTCCCGGGCTGGAAAATTGACTTTTCCCTCCAGTGTTTGTGAACTTTGCAGGTTTTTGTCTGGAAATATTCTCTGACCAAGATCCTCAAAGTCCTTGAGAAGGCCACGTCACCCTGCTCCTCTGCCTTTGAGAGTATTCCCACAGGGAAAAGGCTTTTGCTGGAGCTGTGAACACACCCCAAGAGCAGCAGCAGCAGAACAGGGTAGGATTGACAGAGTCTGTGTCCTGAGGTGAGTGTTAACAATGAGTGTCTCAATAACACACGATGGACGGAAATAAAATAATTAATTAAGAATTCCGTTCTGGGCAGAGGTTTCTAAAGGAAACTGTGATTCCATGTGACACTTTGCAGGGTGTAGGTGGGCTCAGTTCAGATGCCACTGTTGCAGCATCCCACCAAACCCAGGGACACGTTATTCCACAGCTGGTGGCCACCTCTGAGCTCTGAAGCCACCAGTGTCACCCAGAGCCACAGCCCTGACGGGAGGGGTTTAAGTGACCCCATTTGGTGGCTCTTCTGTTCTTTATTATATTTAAAATATCATAATCACAGCAAGAAGGTCTCAAGCGGAGAATCCTTGCTCCAGTGGATTTACTGTTCACAGAATCATGGAAACCTGACATTTTTTGGGTTGGGAGGGACTTTAAGGACCAACCCCCTGTCATGAGCAGGGACACCTTTCACTAGACCAGGCTGCTCCAAGCAGATTCAGGTTGGGTATTAGGAACAAATGCCCATGAATGAACACTGGATTCGAGCTGTGGCCTCACAAGTGAGTACACAGGGGAGAAATAAAGATTTGAGGAAATTTCTGAGCTTTAGCTATGTCAGGGTAGCCCTTGTGTGGAGGCAAATCTTGGCTGCTAGGTCAGGTAGAGCCATGGGGTTCGGGATTTGGGGAGGAATGGATCTGGGAAGTGCAGGATGGGGAAACTGAGAGAAGTTTGGGCAGGTACAGAGCACGCACAGCAATTCCTGAAACCCGGAATAATTGCCGTGTCTTTCACCATGCCCTGGTGCACAGTGTCTGTCTGCCTCACCACCTCTGCTCTGAAGCCCCCATGGTGCTGTGACATGTGGCCCTGTCCCCAAAAAGCCCACGGGGAGGGGTCCCTCAGAGCAGCTCCCAGGGAGCTTCCACGCTCCATGTAGGGATGTGCTCCCTGTTGACGGAGTGACAAAACTATCCTTTGTCTCCTTAAAAAAGAAAAAAGCCCAAAGGTTTCTCTCCTCAGTTAGCAAAAAAGACACCTCATGGGACCTGGGGGACTTCACCTCAAAATTAAGGATAGCCAATTAGACATGAGCCAAAAAGTCCTGCCTGAGCAATTGAATAAAAAAAGAAGAGAACAAATGAATTAATTGCTTTTGTGAGGTGTTTTACCAAGAGCAAGAACCTCTCGCACCTAGCACAGTTTTTCCCTGTAAAGAGTTCTGTTATTTTGCCTTTTATTAAAACTTCTTTATTTCCAACACTACCACAAAAGCCATCCTAGTGATTTTATGACTTCCACAGTAGCTGAGCTATCTTGGATGTGAAATAGATCTCCAAGAGCTTTGAGACCTGGCTTGAGGAGACTCAAATTCCAACTCTCCTTACTTGAGGCCTTCGAGGTGGGTGCTGCTTGATGATGCTGGTCCCATCCTGTCCCGGCAAGGGATTCCAAGAGAGGGGCCCTTAAAGGTTAAAGAAAGGGATGAAGTTAATTTTGGGGTTTGTGCCCCGTTTTTTGGTTGGCATGTCCCGCTGAAGTCCCTGGCTGTGCATTCCAGCAACACATGGAATGTTCTATTGGCTGCAGGAGTAAAGTGGGTGTGCCTGTGATTTCTAACAAATGCCTCTCCAGCTTCCCTCTGCAGCCACTCATGCTTCTAAATATGACCATCACCGTCCTTGTGTCTCCTGTGGCCTCTCCCAGGCCTGGGGATTTGGGTGGGCAAGGGATTCTTCTCATCCCATGCCCTGTAACCATCAGCTGGCCAAGAAATCTCTGATCTCTGCTGCCTGCCCTGTTAAAGTCAGGACCAGGCAGCAGTTTGGGTCTTTCCCTGCTGCTCAGACCCTGAGACTTGATCATTGTTATTTTTTTGGTGGGGCTGAGCAATACCTCTGCTGATTTACTGCCTGTGGCAGAGCTGGGCTGCAGCAGCAGCCAGAGTAAAAGGACTGGGTGCACTCCCAGACCCTGGAAATCAGCCCAAAAAACGTGTCACACACCAGTGATCCCCTGTGAGTTATTAGGGCAGAGCTTTCTCTGAGGCCTGGACAGGATCTGGGCTCAGGTCTGTTCTGTACTGATGCTCTCAGCTGGACACCAATGCCCTCTTTGTTCTTTTCCTGCAAAAGTAAATCCTTGCATGTGCAGGAAGTGTTTCTTTCACACGACAGTTTATCTGTTTATCCCACCTTTTCACCCCAGCAGGCTGCCCTGGTGCATTCAAATGACATTTCACACATGGAGCTCAGTGAGGTGTGGCTGAGCAGCTCCTGAGGAGGTAACAGGGGAGGAGAGCTGGGGATAAAGTGCAGGAAGAACATTAGCTGATGCCAAATTTAATAGTCATATTTAACAAGAAAAGCAGTATTTTGGAGGCCAGTTTATGGGGGGAAATTCTTGAGCCTCAAGGAAGATCACCAGGCTGGGCTCTTGGAGAAGAGAGAGAAGACAATCACAGAATCATGGAATGGTTTGAGTTGGAAGTGACCCTAAAAATCTTTTTTTTTTCATCCCCTGCCATGGGCAGGGTCACTTTCCACTATCCCAGGTTTCTCCAAGTGCCATCCCTGGAACACTTGGGCTCTTCCAGGGATTCAGGGGCAGCCACAGCTTCTCTGGGCACCCTGTGCCAGTGTCCACCACACCCCCAGGGAGGAATTCCTTCCTCCTCTGAGGGTGCTGGGCTATGGGAGATGGTGACTCCTCCATCAGGTGAATGTTTTGCAGAGCCCTGGCAATGTTTAACCACGGAGTGAAGCTCTGGCTGCTCCACACAAGCAGGAATGGGAGCCTGAGGGGAAAATTTCCAGCACAGGAGGCTCCTCTGGAGACAAAGCTCATCTGCAGGGAACATGTGGTGGAATAGCAGCTTGTTAGAGAAAAAAAGGGGTTATTGCTTCTATCTGCAGGCAATTCAGGGAATTTCTGAGGGGAAAGGAAAAGAGAAGGAGGTGGCCCACAGAGATGGGAATAGGGACACAATACAGGGAAGTGGCTGTGACTTAGGAGAAGCTTGTCCAGGTGAAGGATAGGGCTTTGAGGAAGTTATTTCTCCCTTATGAGATTTGATGGTTTGTGTTTGGGAGTGTTTTGGATTTTTCCCTCCCATCCTGTCCATGGGGCCTGTGGGACATTTGCCCTCATCCTCTGCAGATGCAGAGCTGGGGGCTGAGGGCTGTCCCCACATCACCAAGCCCCAGCTCAAGGCATCCTGGTGGCTCCTGTTCTCCTGTTTTTCACCCTTGCACTTCAGCAGCAGCAGATCCTCCCCTCTGGGGGAAACTGGATTTAAAAAAGCCAAGCTGAACCCTCATAAACCAAATAAAACCTATTCTCTGGGAGGCTTTGCTTATTTAGACAGCAGCTCGAGCTAATACTTCACTCAAGTCCTTCTGAGCATACTCATCTTGTTTCTGAAAATGGAAAGTAAAGGGAGATTGCATTTATTAATTTTTTTAAAAAATAAACTTTTTTTTTAAACAAGCATTTGTTAAATGCCCAGAGATAATTTTCCAGAACAGGAATATTTGGTTGTTCTTGCTCTCATGGAGTGCATAAAACCTGCTTTTCTACAGCAAGATCTGATTTGCTTTCTCCCCAAAACCTCAGTTCTGGGAATGTCACTGCTATCACTCCAGAGCTTTATTTGCTTTCACTGCTTCCTGATGCCACCTGATGAATGATCCTGGAGGAAATATCCAACCTCTGGTGAAGCAGCAGCGCTTAACACCGCTTGGTGTGGGTCAGAAATTGATTTTTGGGAATGGAAATGCAGGGAGGGGGTGCTGGGGGTGCAGATCCTCCTCCCTCTGCCTCGCCCTTCCTCACTCCCCCCTGGTTTTCATGGATATTTCTCCCCGCGCTCCCCTGAGAGCTGTGGGAAGCATTTGTCAGCATCCAGCTCGTTGTGGGGAGCTGCACCTCCTCTTCCAGATGGATGCAGGGAAGGATTGGGTATGGATGGAGTTCAGAGGCTGCTCGCAGGGAAGCACCCCTGGAAATCTGTCACTGATTCCAGGGCTGAGCTCCACCTGGCCAGGATCCGACTGTGCTGGGCTCACAGGGCTGCTGTCAGGGCTCATCCCGGGGGTGCCTGCTGACAGCCAGCCGCTGGGCTCTGGAGAGTGAGACACCTCCCGAAGCAGTGCGAGGGGAAAAACGAGTTTTCCCAAAGCTGAAACATCCTGGAAATGGCAAAAAAAAAACCGGCAGAAAGCTGCCGAGGCAGGACGGCGCAGCAAACCCCCAGCCCCGTGCCCCGGGCCGACAAGGCCCAGCAGGGCCCCCTCACCTGCAGAGGCTCTCCCGTACCAGGTCTCCCGCAGAGGAGGCAGTTCCAGCTGGAATTTGGGCTTTCCCCAGGCTGGGGGCTGGCCTGGCTCCCCGGGCAGCTCCTGCAGGGCAGCCAGAGGGGGCACATCCCCCCGGGGGGACACCGGGGCCACCCTGGTCACCCTGGGCCGCGCCTTGGAGGAGCTCAGGCCCATGGTGCAGAGCCAGAGCAGGAAAAGCCCTCATGCACCATCCTCCCTGACCACGGAGAGGGATCTCTGGGAGCCACCCAGAGCCCTGCCAGCTCCCACAGATGTCCTGCCCAGCTCGGTTAAACATTGACCCATCCCCAGCCATTCCCCTGCAGGGAGGGCAGAGGGGAAAGCAGCTCAGGAGCCAGTGCCAAGCCCTGGAGAAACTTTGGGTTTTTACCTACAAGAGATTTCCAACCAGGGCCACCACCTCAGCTGGCCTGCAGGTATCTCTTCAAGCAGCTCTTTTGCTAAATCTTCAGGTTTTGGAAGGAAATTCAATCCCTGGAGCTTCAGAAGGGTTAAAGTGTCTCCCATCCTGCATGGGAGAAGCAGGATTAAATAAATGGGAATAAAGCCTGGCTTGGGAATAAAGTACAGGAGCTTCCCCCACATTTGCTGCTGCTGGCTGGGGGCACTGCGGGAAAAAAAGTGCAGCTTTAGGATAAAACGAACTGAGAATATTGGCAAAAATGAGTAATATTTGATAGTTCATAAAAACATAGGATTGTCAAAGGGTTTGGGTTGGAAAGGACCTTAAAGATCTTCTAGTTCCACCCCCCTGCCATGGACAGGGACACTTTCCACTAGACCAGGCTGCCCCCAGAAGAAAATATTCATCCCTGGAACAACCCAACCAGCTCATGTTTTCAGCCACAAAGCACCAACATCTCTCATGACTCTGCTTTTCCCAGCTCACACAGGGCACAAGGGCGCAGAGCAGCCTGGCCTGTACTTTTTTTTCCTTCTTTGCAAACAAAAATGTAAAATCAACACCCTGCTCCCCTCCTGAGTTTCTCAATGCTTACTGTCTCTTTTTCTTTTTTATTTTAACTACCTTCCCCCCAGCTGAGAACAGGTCACTCCTGTTAAGCAGCTTGGGAAAATCCTGAATTAAATGCAGTGATGGATGTGTGGGAGCAGTGGATGTCCAAGCCCATGGTGCATTATCTGGTGTTTTACCCAGGAGCTGCCAAAATCCTGACAGGCTCCCCGCACTCCCCAGTCCCCTCTCCTCTCCACGTTCCCTTCTCAGAGGGTTTTCCTCTGTAAAGCCAAGAGGCCCAAGAGCAGCAGCTGAAGGTTTGGGATGAGGGGAGCTGCAGGAGGATGCCCTTGCTGCAGGTCACTGGGGTCAGCTGAGACCCTGGTCAGGGATGCTCATCCTCCTCTTGAGCTGGAGGTTATTTAATGCAATAATGTTATTTTATTTTATATGTGAAGGTCAGTGAAATTCCTGAGTACTGTGCTGCAGAATCATGGGGCTGGAGGAGCTTTGGTCCCATACAGTGCCTTTAGGGACAGCCCACAGTCCCTGCCAGGAGACCTGGAAGAATTTGATCCCTTTCTCCCATTTCATTTACAGCTTTAAAGTCTCTCCCAAACTCAGCTGGAATTTTAAGTGATGATGATCCCACCAGAACTGGATTTTTCAGCAAATTTATTGCAGTCAAAATGAAATAATAGACTGCTAAGTGCTCTGATGCCCTTGCTTTTAGGAAGATGCTGGGAGAGCTCAAGGGCAGGGCAGTGCCACAATTCAGGGCAGAGTTTGTTACTCACCTTCACACAGGGCAAAGGTGAACCACGGGGAACTGCAGCATTCACATCCTCTGAAAGAATCCCTTCTCCCAGGATTTTTTCTCCTGGGAAGCTGAGAAGCCTCAGTCCTCATGGATTGGCAGCTCCTGTGGATACAGGAGGTTGGACACGCTGAGACGTTCTGTGCTCCTTCCAGTGATAAGGAGAATCTGGTAACGCAGCTGCCAGATCAAAAGTGGCATTTTCCTTGGGAGACAGTGCCACAGAAATGGAGCCTGACCTTGCTGGGGAGGGCAGAAGGGGCTGCCAGAGACACCCACAGTGCTGGAGGTGGTGATGTCTGACCCCTTGGCAGGGGTGATTATTGCTTTGCTGTTCTCTGATGGATCACCAACAGCATCAGGCCAAAGAGCCTCTGTTTGCTGTCTGATTTCTTGGGTTTGGTGGGGTTTTCTCCAGCTGAAAGGCTGGAACTGCACTCCAGGGAAAATCCTTATGTCCACGCTTAATGAGGAATTTGAAGTGGAGGCTGAGCAGAGGGAGAAGGAGGGGGCTTGAGGCACTGCTGAGGTGGATGAGCACCCTGGAAAGCATCTGGGAAGGTGCACAGAGAAGCTGTGGCTGCCCCTGGATCCCTGGAAGCATTCCAGGCCAGGCTGGATGGAGCTTAGAGCAACCTGGGATAGTGGAAGGTGTTCCTGCCCATGGCAGGGGAATGGGACTGGAAGATCTTTAAGAACTATTCTGTTGGAACCCTGGTTACTGAGAGTTTCAGACTTTCTGTGCTGACAGACTCTCATCCCCCAAGAGAGCACTGCATTGACCTGAGGCCATGGAGAGGCTTCCAAAATGGAATGACAGAACTGGGATTGTGGGTGTGGAGTTTGAATAGAACTGTGTAATGTCACAGGGTGAAAAACTTAAAGAGTTTTAGAATATAGTAATATATATAAAGCAAGATGGAGGTTTAGGGTGGAGGCTGGTTCTCCTTCACCTTCTCCTTCACCTTCTTCCCCATGGGTTTGGGTGGTTTTGTGTAATTGGATAAAAAAGTCCACATTGCAGCCATGGGTGGTTATTGGGTTAAAAGTAAAAATAATTTAGGTGTAATTTCTTAATTGGATAGTTTATCCTTAAAAGGCCTTGTGGAGAGAGATGGGGCTCCATTTTTGGTTTGTTAGGGTGAAGTGCTGGAGAACTCAGGGTTTGTGAGACTGTGACAGAGATAAGAACTAATAAACATCTGAGTCCCAACACAAAATTCTGTCTTGCCATTTAACCCTGACCCTAGCAAAAAGAAGGAAAGAATTCACACACCTGAATATTGCAACCTGAATCATTCTGAGAACATCAAGCCAAAGCAGGGGTGCTCTGCCCAAGCCTTCCCTGCTGCAATCACAGTGTTTTTAACACCCTGTGCCCCTGGCCATGGAATGTGTCAAGCAGGGGAAAGTTGACTCAGAAAATGGGATTTCACACAATTTTCCCTGCAGAATTCTCAGTGAGGTTCCTTGAAGGATCCAGTCCCAGGCCTGAAGATGCTGCCATGAGGCTGCTTGCCAAAATGGAAGTTTTGTTTTCCCCATGTGTTCAATTTGGCAGGAGCTAAAATTTCAGTAAAACACATCCCCAAAACTATCTAGCAATGCAAATGAATGTATCAGCTCCAAAACTGTGGGGAGAGGCCATGTGCTGGGTGCTTTCAGCCCATCAGTATCTTTATAATTAACTTTTTTTTGCAATATTTTTTGTCTGTCTCCTCTCAAAAGCAGCAGACCTGGAGCTGTAAGAGGCTTGTGTGTGCATGCAAACCTTCACCTCTCTCTGGGTTTAGGGCACAGGGGACACTTGAGGTGGTTTTTGCAGCCCTAATTCTGCAGCCATGAGATGAAAGAGCCCAAGTTTGTGGGGTTTTTTAACACACACACAAGTGTTTTTTCTGCAGTGCTGGCTGCAAGGAACAGTTTAGACATGAATATTAAAATATTTAAAAAACATCCAATAGAAAGGTCAAATAAAAAGAGTCAAATAAATTATTATTTACATGATTTTTTTCTCCTAGCAGAAATACCATTAAAAACACCCCTAACTATTTTCCAGTTGGTTTTATTCTTCCTTTAAAAAAAAAAAGAAGTTTGTCTGCCTACCAAGTGCTCTCAAATAAAGCCAGTCTTGAGTGGTCAATCCCAGGAATGTTGTAAACCAGCCTAAATTACACAGCAGCAGGCCTAGGGAAGGGATTGGGAGGTTGGTTGGTTTCATTTGGCTTCTGAAGGACTTTTCCACAACAGAGGTTAAGAAAAATATTAATTTGTCCCAACACTCTAGAAAATAGGAAATGGCATTTTCCAGGGACAGCAGTGATCCAGGGGGTTCCATCTCTCCTGAAACTCTTGCAGCTCAGCTGGGAGTGCAACTGTTCTGGGAAAAAAACCAAGGTAAATAAAGCTATTTTTTGCTTTACTAAAGGCACTCAAATTCCAGCACCACTTCTAGAAAGGTTTTGGAAGGAGGCACAGCCCAGTGTGGGCTGGGAGGAGAGGCCTCGTGTTCTGCACTTCATGGAATATTTATTCCGATAATAATTGGAAATATTGAAGAGAATATCAGAAATGAACTCTCCAAGATGCCAGGAGAGGCATGAAATGCTTTTCTAAAACTGCTACCTCACTGAAAGGGCACTTCACTGCAAGTAAGTCAAGATGTTAAATTTTGAGATTTAGCTGGAAATATCCAAGATTTGTATCCTCCAAAGTGGCTCTACCTCTGCTAGCAAAGAGAGATAAAGGATGCAAACTTGACCCACATTTTAAACTCACCAGCTCAGAAAGACACAAACTTAAACCTTTGTTTATTACAAAAGATTTTATTGCAGTTATTTACACCCGTTCCTCGTTAAGTGTATAAATGTAAACATTTATTATAGATGTACTTCTCTTATCTTACAGTTCATCCCCTGCTCAGGTTAGATGACATTTTTTTGAAGCATACAGGTGGTGAGGAAAGTTAAGCTATATTCACAGAATATACATCTGCCTGCAGGGAGGCTCCTCCAGCCCTACGCCAGCGGGATGGACACTGCCCCGTTGGCTCTGCTCCTGCTCCTCGTGTGCACGCTGGATTCCGTGATGTCCTCGGAGTGATCCTCGCTCTTCTTCTCCTTCAGGCTGTTGATGAACCTCAGGGTGATCTCGTCCCACTCCTCGGGCAGCAGCATCAGCAGGAACCCGATGCAGATGATGATGGTGGCCCCCAGCCGCACCACGCTGAAGATCATTTTGTGCTTCAGCAGGTCCACGGCTGGAGGAGAGGAAACAACAGCAGAATCAGAAGGGCAGCAGGAGGGACGATGGCACCAGGAGCAGCCTGGCACGTCCCTGTGACCCTGTGTCACACTCTGGGTGTGACACTGGCCGTGGGGCTCGCAGATCTCCCTGAGC